AGAGATTCTCTATTGAATCTCCTGTATATAATAACAGTAATTAATGAATTGTCTGAAACTAGGATGAATTAACTGTATCCAATATTTTTCATCAATTGATTTCTAAATGATTCTCTATTGGATAATAGTGAATAAAAATAGATTTATTTCTAAATAACAATTAAATAAATCATCTGTATGTAATTAAGTATTATCAGTGTATAGAGATGAGTTCAGTTAACTAGTACACTAATCATTGAATGTGTAGCTTTATCAAAGTAAAGCTGGATTTATTTTGTATTATCCATTTAAAAGCATTGGAGAATGAATTGATAGTTTCCTCTTTTTTTTGGTTTACTTGTACTTTTTACAAAGAAAGAGGTAATGTACCATGATTACCTAATCATAGCATAGACAAATCAAGTTTTTTTTAAAAAAAAGAGAAACATCCAATCCATTAGAACACGGTAGTCGTTTGAACATTGAAACGAAACCAAACTATGTTACATATTTGAAATTATCTGATATAGAGGGGAAGTTTGTTTTTTTTACTAGATTGTACCAATTTTTATTATTTCACCTCCTTCCGTTTTCATTCTGGTTTGAATAGTTTATCATTTTGATGTAGTTTCTCAAAGAACTAATCAAGACATTAAAGATTTATACAGTAATACTAGTAAAAATGACCTTGGGTTAGCGAATCAGAATTAAGATAACTCCTCATTTATTTTGCGCACAATTGAATGTGTAGGGATTGATAACTTGTATATTATTATTAACTAGATGAGAATTTACAATAATTGATACTTAAAATACTCGGAATCAATTTTCAAAAATATATCTAAGCTCCAAACAAAATATGAAATTCAAACGGTGTTTACGCTAAACGACAAAACATAACAGCTCCTAAGACAGATTGCATGTTTAATGTGGTTCAATGTGTAGTCAAGGCTGTTTAATGAAGCTAGATAATATTCTTCCTCTCCAACTCTTTTTTTTTTTAAATCTCAACCCTAAGTGTGCTAACAGAAGGGTAACAAAGCGTTGCATTATAACTTATATCAGTTAATGATGGAAATCCCAAACTTAATTCGTTACCCCAACTCAAAACTCCAGCCTTAATCTTATCACCGTGATCTAACCTTTTTAAATTATAGCCGATTTCATATGGTGATAATGACCCTTTAGGGTGATAACTTTAAATTAGAATATTAACCTGACTCTTAATCTGTAAACTTGACCTTTGTCCTTTACTACAAAGAAGAATTTGGCATATGAGGGTTAATTATCCAGATCGAAACTGTTATTCCACTCGTATTTTGTGGCTTTTTAGTGTTAATTATTTCGTGAGTATACATCATTTCCTGATTGGTTGATAAGTCGCTCAAGGTCGTCAGGTTATTATGTTATTACCATAATACTATCCGTTATGGTCATCAAAATTTGACTGAGTTTGTCAGTTAAAGAACAGAATGTGGTTTTTTTTTAAATTTCAACGTAAATTATTCACTTGATTATAAACCACGATATTTATGTGAAAGTTGGTAAATCTACTTGTAAATCCTCTTACGGAGATAGATAGTCATTGGTTTCGAACTTTCAAACTTTTGATTAAAGCCTGAAGCATAGTAAAACAACATCATGGCCTATAAAATTTCAAATTCTGTTTGTAAGCAGTCACTAAAATATAGGAATTTTGGTTTAAATTTGGACGGATACTTTTACAGGATTTGGACACTGAGTTAATATAAGGCATTAGGGAGGAAGAATATGTTTATACAATCTTAGAGATCGAATTTGAAGTAAATCCAATATTTCACTTGGCAATCCGGTACAAGCTTTTTCATGGAAGTATGATCAACTATCAAAATTATCGAATATAAACAATTAACTGTATACTAAATAGGTCAATCAATCATGTTAACAGTGTTTGAAGAGTAAGTATTTGCTCCTCATACCTCGAATACACACAATCTGTTATCTTAACACTTTTCATTACACACCACATGTCTCAAATACACTAAAGCAAATATTTACTTTAAACATCGTTAACATGATTGATTGACCTATCTAGTATACAGTTAACTGTTTATATTCGATAATTTTTATATTTGATCATATTTCCTTGAAAAAGCTTGTACAAGGTTGCCGAGTGAAACGTTGAATTTAATTCAAATTCAGTCACCGGGATTATACAAATATATCCTTCCTCTTTAAAATCATTAATTTGTTTAATTAAACAGTTACGTTAGTATGAGAAATTTGTGTGTGCTACTTATATCGACATAAGTAGTATATAGCGGCAGAAGATTGAGAAGATCAAGAAGGGAAGAATGGAAACAGAAAGCCACTGGTATGGAAATGCAGGAGCAGTGAAGTCTGAGACGATCGACTGATATTTGATACTTTTCAAATTAAGTATTTACTATATGGTTCTTAGATTTTACTAAGACGTTCCGTAATTGTTTTTCTCGTTCAGCATACCGTCACCGATGTAATACCTTTCAAAAACATATATTGATCTACGTCACCGTAGTTCATATTATTACAGAATGAGAGAACATAGTTAAAATGAAAATTGCTGTGAAAAGGATTCATAATCCATTAGAACGGAAATTTAAAAATAGGAAGTAATTTTCAAGTGCAACGAATCAAATCGAAGTAATGGAGTTATGGAATGACACAAGCTTCTATATTTAGTATACGATATACAATGATTGTAACTGCGTTACTTTGATTTGTTCGGAGAAATGTCACTTAACGTCACCAACTATCATTTAACATTATTACACTGTCTACATCAAGAAATTCTGTTTGTTTTTCGAACCATTCAGTACCTTTATTGACTAATGGCAATTAATATGTTTAGATATCCTTGACTGACTTCTAACCTACTCCTATATAAACCAGTGATGATCATCAGAACAGCCAGTGACTAGAAATCTGTAATATATATCCCATATCAATAATTGGTGATTATCATTATATATGAAAAGCTTTATAAGGATTAAATTAGGAATTGGTTTAAATTTTTTAATGAATACCTCATTTACTAATTGTAGATTGGATTGTTTTTTACATATGTACACTAAATACGTACAAACTATTTATTGTGTTTATAGGTATTAATACTAAGGTTGAACTTGATAGTTTCAAATAACTTGAACATTGGATAGAAAGTTTCCTTTATATTGCTTAGACTTATGTTAATTTAATTCTGTTATTTATTTATTTATTCTGAAGAAGTGGTCACATTAAATCACGAAACATCGAAAATACGACTTTTCTACTCATCCGGATATAACAAACAAACAAAGATATTGATTATTATTTGTTGTGTTGTTTTTTTTTCAAAGTTATTGTTAACTAACTTGTTAGTATACAAAAAATCAAAATGATCTACAACATAGAAGTATATAGTTTATCGTATGTTAAACTATTGATATACTATGAAGATGAAGATGATGACATGACTTCATGCGCTCTTGTGAAAGATAATAAATGACATTTATTTTATTATATACATGAATCAATTGTTTATGTCACAAGATCATTGTTTCTTTGCTTTTCTACGTACATAGATACTTTTCATAATACTTCAACTAGTTTAAGGTACTTTTTAACTTATTTATTTAGTGAAACGTATTGGTGAAATATAATACTTTTGAAATATTACTGATTACCAAACAAATGGATGACCTTAAACATTCTAATTTTTACACTTATTGAGCGCTTGGTGTTGACCAATATCATATTATTTAGTTTTTTAAACCAAGTTACAACGTGGCCATACTAAACTATGTAACTTGGTATTATAATACATTTTTTTAGTGTTAGATGATTTGGAGCAGTTGATTGATAGTCCTGGACTTCTTTTCAGTGTTAATTCCCGCTCATTACTAGTTATTGTTACGTCCAGAGCATTCTGTTTTTAGCTTTAAATCAAATAACATTTAAACAAATATTGGATTCTTGACCAATCAAAGTTAATCAGTGATGTTTAATTTCAAATCTAACTATCTCTACTGCACCCTTGTGATAATTATCATCGTACACTTACTAGTGACTTACATCGAGAGTTCTAGTACAAAATCAAGCCATATCTAGCATGAAATAAATATCACTGATGACAATATATGATGTTTGTACGCTATCACGAATTGCTTAGGGTCAGAAATGTAAACCATCAAATGACATGTCAGTTTTTCAAAGTTTGGTTCTAGGTTGAATCTCTGGTAAGTTAATGGATACCCACTGTTGAGGATTTCCACCGTAGAATGAACTGGCTAATCAATTTCTCCCTAGTTTTCAATGGTTTATAACTGAAATTCAGCTCATGGGATGAAACTTTAAATATCAGGAGTTGAACTGCCTAGCTAGTAACGTATATATTATGCGTATAAAGTTTACTTCATTTGACCCTAATTTTGTATCTAGCAACTTAGTGAAATTACATATTTATAACTTTAGTTGAATGAGAATTTCATATTAGACTTTTTCAAATCCAGCCAACTAGTATGAACACTGATAATTGAAATAAGTTAAGAATTCTCACTAAAATAACAGATATTAATTAAGGATTTTCACATATCAAACTAGCCAGGGTTATCCTCATTATTCAATAATCATTGTTGTGTCCTTCAATATTAGTTATTTTCCTGTTCATTTAGTAAATAAATCCTCTATATTAAAGTGTAATTTCCACTTAGGATTTTAATTCAAACTCTGAATTTCACTTTATTTATGTTTTTCATTCGGTATATTGAACTGTACTACAGTGATATGTTCATGGCGAACAGTTTTAGATGCCTTCAATGATTTGAAATTGAATCCCTAGTGAAAATCAACCTCTTACTAAATAAACAGGAAAATAATCGAAAGAGATAAATACAAAGTATGTATATAAGATTGTAAAGGTTCCAGATAACCTCGGTAGTCAAATTTATACGATTAGTTAATCACTTATAGAAAGAACTTTTAAAAAATATTTTTTTAATTCTCATATTTTATCATCTCTATAGAATTGAAGATCCGTTAGGAAGTTTAGATTTATTCTCAGTACTTCGTCATTATTTTAAACAGTCTGGTTTTCAAATTGAAACACCAAATGAACGTATTCGTTTATTGTATGGATCAGAAGAAGGACTTTATGGTTGGGTATCAGTGAATTATATTTTAGGTAATATTAAAGAAGTAAGTTTTAAACTAATAAATTGTTTTATTATTTATTTTGAAGTAATTTTTATTCATAAATGATTCAAACAATCTCTAAGTAGGATTATAAACATCGATATGAAAAAAAGTGTTACTGTGAACCGAATACACTAATCGATACTTGTTTACTGAAATACATAAAATTGGTAATAGTAATAACAGGTTTACTGAATTACTTTTGTTTTTGTTAGAATAAAGAATTCTCTTACTTACTTACTCTTACCATCCTTCGTTGAGGAGCATAGGTTGCTGACCAACACTCTCCATTGAACTCTGTCCTCGGAAATTCTTTCCAGTTGCTATTCATCCTCTTCATGTCTCCTCTTTCGTCTTCCTCTTTTCCGTTTCCCTTCAGGATTCCAAGTTAGTGCTTGCTTTGTGACACAGTTTGATGATTTTCTCAATGTGTGTCCTATCCACTTCCAGCGCCTTTTCCTAATTTCCTCCTCAGCTGGAACCTGGTTTGTTCTTTACCACAGTAGACTGTTGATGGTTTCCGGTCAACGGACATTCGGTATCTTACGTAGACAATTGTATATGAATACTTGAACTTTCTTGGTGATAATTGCCGTAGTAGTTCTCCACGTTTCAGCTCCGTACAGTGGAACTGTCTTGACATTCGTATTGAAGACTGTGACTTTTATGTTGGTTGACAGTTGTTTTTAGTTCCATTTGTTCTTCAACTATAGAAATGCTATCCTTGCCTTGCCAGTCCTTACCTTTACGTCTGCATCAGATTCCCCACATTCAGCGATGATACTACCCAGATACGTGAAACTTTCCATCTCTTCCGGTAATTTGTAAACCTTCTACATTATAGTATGAGTATATATGTGTTAACATTCATAATTATTCAGTTCAAACAAATCTAAAACCTGATAGTCAGTCGTAATATTTGCACATTTGAAAAATAAATAGCCTAAATGTTTGTGTAGACCGACGAGTTTAAACACCAGATTTTCAGATATCGTACTTCAACTTTGAAACCTTGAAACAGGTAGAATACCATCGAATCTTATGTAGAAGGTTTGGTTGAAAGCCTAATGTATGGAGGCTGTATTTGGTGGTTTTATTACACCAATCTTAGTTTTTTCCTGTTTGGTTAAAAAACCTGTTGCTAAGCTATTAAATGTTTCATTACTTTTTTACTCACATGTTCTTTTCTGTAAACTGGTGTACATTCTATAATTATTTTCAGAATGTTTTATTATTATTTGTTGCACTGGGATCATCGAGCATTGTGCCTAGTTTTTTTGTATAGGAGATATCATAAGATATACATGATTGTCAGTATAGGAACGTCGAGATTGTTGAGTTTCATTAAAATCATGGGCCGATCAATGTTAGACCAACATTATAAACATAGAGGCTGTGAACTATCGTTTAACGCTGGCCCAGTGCATATCCACGAGCCCGCACGCGCGACTTAAACCCAGAACCTTCGGTCTCATCCGCGAACGCTTAACCTCAAGACCACCGAGCCAGTGTTTAGTGGTGTTAATATCTAAATTCAACCAAACCACGATATTGAGTTATTATCTTCCATTGTCTTTGGTTGAACTCCACTGGTCACGGCCTTTCACTAGAACTCAAGTAATTCCCCCTCAACACCAATCACTACTGAGCATATGAAAATTGTGAGTATGGGGTTATAGAGACTGCTGAGTTTCATTCGAATCATAAACTGATCAATGAAAGACGGTTGCGCACATATCCTATAATCTCTTTATAATTAACTTATTTCTTTTTAATTATTACGCTCAAATATGATTAGGGTAAACAAACAAATCCTACTGATACAGTTGGTTCTTTGGATCTTGGTGGAGCTAGTACACAAATTGCATTTGTTCCTAGACAATATTCAACTATACCAAAAGAACATTTAAACTTTTATCCACTCCGATTATATGGAAATGATTTTTCAGTATATAGTCATAGTTTTTTATGCTATGGAAAATCGGAGTTTGAAAGACGTTTAATGACTTCCATTGCAGTAAGTTTTCATTTCTTAAATTGGAAATAATAAATTTTGATTAGTATCTTAGATATTTGTAGTTCTATCTAACATGTTTTTTGAGATTTTATTTATTATAATATGATAATTGATAGAAATTTATCGTTTAAAGTGTTTATTTTCATATATTGGGTTTTCTTCTTCCCTAAGATGTTCCTATAGTGATTTTTCCAAATTTCATAGTTGCCAAGGTACATTTTTTAAAAATCTAAGTTTACGACAACAACAAAAAGAAATATATGTGCATCCTGTGTTCATTGCCTTTATATTGACATGATGTCACAGATTTTATATTAAATAGATGGAATGTGATTAGAAGTAAAATTCGGGATTTGTGTTTCGTTCTATTTGGAATTGTCATCTAAATGTATCTAGATCTCAATGTTAATGTTTACACCTAGTACTTGGGACTCTATTGGATAGCGAACATAAAAAATTCAGGTCTCATGACGAATGTGTTACTTTTAAATCACTGAATTGGGTTCTAAATCATCAGAATTTCACAGCTCTAATTAATTTTTATCATCCGATCATCGACTCGGATGTAGCCTAGTTAGCTTAAGGCTTGCTTAGCTAGCTCTACACTTTCGCAATACGTCAAGAACTAAAAAATTTCATGGCTGATCTGAAACACTTGTCTCTTGGGCAACACATACACATTCCTAGGTCATTACGACCACTCCTAACCCAATTTCCTCTTTGACGATCTCAAGCAAAAGAATTATCTTTCTACAATTTAAGAAACCAGAAAGTAAAAGCCGCTCTCATACTTTTTTCATTGTTGATATGTATCACACCGCTGACATGATTGAACTCAATCAATCACAGATTATTATTAGAACTTTGATTTTCTTTAGTCGACTTCAATAAAATTAATAATTAAATATCAATAAATTACATTTTAGTTGGCAGTGTCGCTTACGTAATCTGTATAGTGATTTCAAAGTTATCATTCAACGCATTTCTAATTCTCGGCATAAATATCTCATTTGAGTTGTTGAGCAATAATAATAAACATCATTCCATAAAAAATTAATTGAAGTGAATACATACTTATTCACATTGTATAGTGAATACACACTAAATGATTCATATGTCAACTTCCGTAACCACACTTTCTGAGTAAACACTCTTCAAAGCCGTTTTTGATAGTGAAAGTAGATATGATTGATCACTAGGTTTGGACAAACAGTCTCTCAGCTTCTTGAACATTAAACATGTGATTTCTATCCATCTTATAAATTTCTATTCGGGACTCACTGAGATTAACTGTTTGTAGTTGTGTGAAGTTTGTGCTGATGATATCGTTCAGAAGAACGATGAAAGCTCCATGATCAAACCATCCAGCTTCCAGAACAAAACTCCATCAAAATAAAATATTTATCTAGTATTTACTCTGGTTCCCCATTTTTGGTCATGAACCGTCTATCTGATATAACGTGATCTAGTCTCTGTTTAGTAGATTGTTCAAGTATTTAATCTAGCGGTATTATAAACTCAGTTACCCAGACCAATATTGCTTATTATACCGGAAAAAGAAAAACGTTTTAATCCGTCCATAATAATAGAAACAGAGAAAATGTTTCTTATCAATGCGAAATTTTATTCATAGACATCATTAGTTCATCATATTTCAGATTCGATATATTCATATTTATATGTATCCGATAATGTTAGCCAGGTTCAATTTAATAATAATAAGTAAAGGTTACTATCAAAGATTATTGTCAATGAAGAAAGACAACTTTAACCAAGTTTTATTCAACATAATAGAATAATTCAGCTTTGTTTTACATATTTAAAGCAAGTCGTCAGAAAACCTTAAACATAACAGAGATCACTGATGATTGCAATAGGACTCTTAACGTGATGCTGACCTAAAGGGTTCAAAATCTCAAAGTACCAAAGGTTTCTCCAAGATTTTATAAATGCCATTACTTATCATTATTATTATTATTATTATTATTATTATTATTATTATTATTATTATTATTATTACATGTTAATCCATTGAAAATCATTATATATTAAAAATATTCACTTAGGAATCTTTTTTTCCTCTCTTCACAGGCACAATTTCCTTTACAAAATGAAATTCCTAATCCATGTTTTCTTCAAGGCTATAAATCAGATTTGTACAATGCACTTGAGTGGTTCACTGGAAGTTGTTTATCTGGAACTTATGCAAAGAAAACATTTTCTGAGGAAATTTTCCGACCTCCTGTAAGTTACGAGTTGATTTAGTATTTAGTTAGTTTCAGCTAGGTTAACTGTACGTATATAGTAAATTTTGTCTTTTGGAAAATATTTTATGCCTACGATCAGTTTTAGTTCATAGTCTGTCTAATTTATTCATCCTTAATATAATCGAGGATTAGAAAGTAGAGGACTAAATTCATTCAGAACTACAGATGAAATTAGTTGATTTGACAAAATGTCTGGCAATTGAATGTAGGATTAGCGTTTCGTCGTATTTAGGACCCGTTTCCTGGATGTACTTACATCGTACTCTTCATATTTAAATCGAAAATTAAACTCAGTACCTTTCCTCTCAAACGTCAGTCAGTTATCCATTGACTCACTGAGTCCAGTTTGCCACTAACTTGTTACAGTACTTTGAAAGTAATAATGAAGGTATGTGATTTCCCGTTGTTGATATTCAGGATTGTAATTGACCAGTCTCAGTTGCCATATTTTCATCTTAAGTGGGTTGCCCCTATATAACGTTATGTCACAAGTTTTATTATATTTGATGTGTGCCTTGCAATGGAATCTAGTATTCATGTTTTATCTTATTTGATATTCGTCAGATAAATGTAACCTACATTCCAATAGTGATATTCACATTGAGTCTTAAACCCAGTTCTTTTCGCTTCAGTAAAACAGATGACATAATTATTAAAATAATTTCTCTAAAAACTTGTTCAAGAAATGGAAAGTAAATTGTTGTCCGATTCATTAACAAAAATATTGCATTGATTATTTGGATTTTTTAGTTATATCTATCATTATCATCATCAGTCGAGTCATTAATTCAATAAACAGAATTCAGTAGCTTGAATTTACATTTCAGCTTGTTCGAATTTCGTGGAATGAAAAAATAAATAACCTATGTATTTTATCGATCAACTTCATACTTTTTCTATGGCTTCATTCGCAGCTCCTGAAGAAAAATGTCCTGAAAGTCATGACTAGAATTTTAGAGTCATTCAAGGTTATCATACCTCTTCGTCTGAAATTAACCTGTCTCCTGTAATTTTAACTAGACAAGATATTTGAAAACTGAAGAGAAGAACTGATTAGCCGCTTTTTTTTTCCAAAAACTTGTCATTCTAGTGACTTAATCCGTCTGTATATTTCAAAAAAGGTCAATCTACTTAAGTAAATGGGAAAAATTCAAATGTTCCTGTGAGATGAAAATATTTTTCAACAGATTTTCACCATAAAAATCTAACATTTTCTGTAACTAGTAGTCAGTAGGCGTTTTAACATTGACCTCATATGTATAACGACTCACGTGCAAATGAGTTTAGTCTCATCTAACGCAGTTAAGCCCTTTTGCTAACTCATTTAACGGACAAAGTCATCCGCACTATAACAACTTATTGTACCCTTATTATTTTGTGCGTGTATGAAATACGTATGCTTGAATATTGCTTACGGCCTACGCATTTATTCACTCTGCTAGTCTTACTACTAACTGATTATTTGATTCGATTACTCATTCATTTCACATGCTATATATATATGTCCATGTTATTCATACTCACTCACACACACACTCTCGTCTCGCTCTTGCTATGGCTCTCGCTCGCTTGCTTGCCTTTCGGCACAACTCTTCTATGCTTGTTTAACGCATCTGTACATTTGGATATATGTTTGTGGTCTCGTAATAAACGTAATCAACACTTCGTATTTGCCTTCTGATTAATAAACCGTTGGGACGTTGTATAGAACGGTTATCAAGACGAGCTGTATACGAAGTTTAAGGATTATATCGAATACCGACCACCACATATGTCATCCAATATTGGAAATGTTAAATATCTATTTAGTAAGAGATCAGGTCATCAGACTAAGTGATCAATATTTTGTTGTAAGTGACTTATGAAGATTGTGAAATTTCATAGTTCATATCATGAACTGGTTTTAGTTATACAACTACTAAAAAGTAGGAAGTGTCAGAAAACTGTTTCGTATAATGGTGAGATTTTTCATAAATGCCCATCTATGACCCGACAGGGGGAACTAAAACCTCAGGCCTTTAGAATACCAAGCAGGAATTCATAGGTCTACATTTCTAACATCAATCAATTCTTGATATTCCGTTCACTATTGGGCCTGTAGGTTCTATTATTCGATTCCCGGTAGAATTGTGGATGTGCACTACTGAGGAATTTCATACCGGGACATAATTGCTATACGGTACTCCTTAGTTTTAAATAGCTTTCGAACTAAAATCAATCCGTAATGGAAACTAATCAATTTGTTTTTGTTTTTAAAATAATCCTTTGAAAGTTATTGCTTGTTCTTCAGATTTACAAATTAAACTATACACTTATCTACATTAATCCACAGTTTACTGTTCTGTTTCCTGTAGTTAGTTACTTTATCTATTAAATATATTATGTTGTTGTTTTCTATTTTTAAAGTTATTTGTCAATTAGTTTGACAATGGTATTGTATTCATTATTCATTATTTATGATAGATCTTAGTAAAACACATGATAAACACTTTTTTTTTCTCTTTATACTTTAGAATATGAATAGTTTTTCATTTACCGGTATAGGACAACCTAATGAATGTGTCAATTATATCCAGAAACATTTTCAAACGAAATGCAATTTTTCATCATGTTCATTCAACAATGTTTTTCAACCAGCTCCATTTGGAAAGTTTTTGGTAAGCCATTTTATGTTAATGTTTCTATGTTAATGTTCACATAGGGACTTGCTATCCTCCTTTGCTAGTGTTCGAGAGTTATACGTTATTAAGTGAATTCATCAGTCGATTTAAGCTAGATCACCATTGATAACCTGGAAACATTGGAAGGCCGCCTCGTCTTAGTATAGGACTCCTAAGAAGTGCGCACCGACGATCCCGCAGAGGCTAATGTGTGTGAGTGAACAAATACATAGGTGAATTTATGGTCAAACCCAATCAAGGTGCAGCGAAGCACGCCAAAGGCTACTATTAGGATTCGAGAACATACATATATGGGGATGAGGATGACTCATCGAGTAATATTTAAGCGACTAACATTTAAGCTAGAGAGAAGTATGTGCGTAGTCTATCCCATGTGATCAAGCCTACATGTTTATACAGACATGATAGTGTTCACAATAATACAAAGAAATAAACGAGTTGTTTGTCAAATAAGTTAGTAAAAGGGCTTGAAAAAAGTTAACCATAATCGAAATTAAACGTAGGAGTGTTGCTATAATTGTTTCAGTCTTTACAATCAACTATTTTATTCGAACATGAACCACTGAAACACCTCGATTTCAATGAGAATAATATTTTTCCCCTGGATTTCCTGCTCCCTTTTAACAATCTTTTCCAATGAATTGCCTATCAAGTCAACAATATGATCCCGCATGACAAAGATCTAGTGATATGTGGTGTATATTGAATTTGTGATATAGTTCATCCTTTTTTGTTGTTAAAATGCTCATCATCATTGTTATTCAATCAATCACTAATAAAACGATTTGCCCAAAGGTTAAATTTTAACAAAAGAGAAGAACTCATCTATTTACATGTTGTACCTAATGTGCATCAAAGGTAACAAGTAGTTGTCATGACTTTTTCCTCATACTATATCATATCCACCCTATGAGTAAGAAAAATAATTTTCCTACCAGTTCGAATCAATCTGTGCATTACAATAATATCTTCCAGAATTTTCTCTTTAAAATGGGCGATAACTGAGATTTAATGGTTGTGTTCCCAGGTCCTACTGCTAATACTTGAAAACAGAAATTACTACAATTCCTGCGACACTAAGTACAAACACGGAAGACTTAATATAGTGAAGATTGATTAACTATTTAAAAACATATCTTTACTGTTTGAACTACGAATAGATCTTGATAATCAATGAATTGGTCACTAAACATAGATGACTATATCATAAAATTAGGCATCTAAACCAGTCAATATAACTAACACGGAGCTATGGAGATCAGCGCGAGCGGAACGACTAAAAAAGCGACTTATTAAAAAAGGAACGAGTATGACATACGCTACTGTGATACTTAGACAGATAGACACAGGTAGTATATAGCAGGAATTGGAATTGGAATACTTACCAGCAGAAGATTGAAATGAAGAAAAGAGAATGGACAGCAGTAAGCAATCAAAACAGCAACATCATTGGAAGAATGATAAAGTATATAGAAGACAACTCAAGGAAGATGAGCAAATGATGTATTTGATGTGATTTTCATGTTTTACAAAGACATTGTGTAATTCTGTTTACCCAACCCAAATCTTCGTACGTTACAACACGATCACTCCTTAAACTGTAATGATCTGTCTCAGCTTATAGGGGAAAATTCAGTATCACATATCACTAGCATTCAAATGAATTGAGCTCTTGGTCACCCTATCATTAACATTCACCCTTTAAATAGTGTGTGTTTAGCCTTGAAATCTGTTTTTTATCGAGGGAATGGTGTGCAATGCAGTTTTTTAGGAATACGGAAGGGATAGGAATGGGAGAAAAATTAACTTAACAAATCAGTAACCACTCGAAATAAACTTACTTATAACGTCCAAAAAAGCACTCACGCATAACAAGTAACAATACAAACATGAAATTATGACGATCGGATATCCAAAACAAGGAGTTTAAAACATAAAATTCTTAACTCATTACTTTATATCAGTCCTGTTGACAAGTTATAGCTCGAAGAGCTCAAATTATAAAGCTGGATGGTACTGGTTCGATTCCCAGAAGATACGTCAGTTCCCTAAAGATTGCAGATGCCAGTTTTCGACAAATACCAGTTAGCATGAAAACTAGGTTAAAAATTTCCCGTCGAATAATTCCAACGACCAAGCATTCATTGACTTATTAAAAAAAATACTAGCAGAATGATGAAAACGATGCAATAAATCATTCAAAGAATAAAGTACCCTGCCAATTGTTGTTAATCATCCGAAACATAGCTGTCAGTACACTTTTAAAATGTTGGACATTAGATTTCTGAGCTTGTAAGAAAGAAAATTCCATTAGTGTTGTAATATAATCAATAAAGTGGCGTTTAGTGGGGACGGGATCTGACTCCAATTAGATATGTTGATCGCTCTTGAGTGAGTGCTATCGAAATATATATGTTGCCTATCCTCGTATATAATCATCGACTTAAATCGCGTTAGTCAATAACGGAATTAAATAAGTCAAATAACGAGAATGAATTTCGAATACGTATATTTCATACAATCTTTGGTCCAGAAAAAATATCGGAGAAGCGAAGAGAAAAGATCGAAGCAGAATTACGCTCAGTAGAGAAGGCATCTGAGCCAACTCCATTTAACCAAGCGTTAATCAATATTTATAGCCACACAAAATTAAGTTGCAGTCATGTAATGTATGGGATAAGAAGTGTACACACATATATATACGCTCATATAAAAACAGTCAAGATTGATAAGCGAATAATTAACAAGGTCAAAATGTGACTCAAGTAGAATGAATAGATTGGCCTGTCCGAAAGCTAGAATAAGGTAAATGGGTTTAACATAATAAGCGACATTACAAGGGCTTAGTAATCAATTAGTTGATTGCTTTACGCGGCATCATAAAACACTAACTTCCATTCCCTAGGCGTTATAAATGAACCTCTTATGATTTATGATGAAAAACCTATTTGAGAATTGTTAAATTAATTGATGAAATGCTCCGATCTGTTGATAATACACAATGATACAGTGTGACCAAACAATGATCAATCACAAAACAGAATCAATGATATAAGCCTCAAATCTTTTCTTCGGACAAAATAATATGCTAATACATAAAATATTGGATACAGGAACAAATACGATTATAAGTCATTTAACAGGTAAACAATTTCAGGTTATACCAACTACATATCATTCACTCTCCAATGGAATTAATGCTTACGTATCAGGCTTGTACCTGCTTTATTATATCAATAGCAATAAAGTTGGAAAATTTCACCAAACTGTTGAAAACCGGTGTTTTCACAATACAACTGTTAATTCTTACTTATTTTCCTATTTCTTTATGATGTCTAACCTATACACACCACACTGAGATTCTTTCGGTTTTATTTCTTCTCTTTTTCGCTATAAAATGTGTGTATTTCTTCTCGTAGCTGAGTCATAGAAATTTAATTATAACCAAGTAATCCACAGACATTTCAATATGGTTTCATTTATTTAGGATTTATGAATTATTCCTTCATTATTATAACAACAAAAAACATCAAAATGATTCATGTCAATTTACAAATCACATCATTTTAGTTAACTTCCAAGGATGATTCAGATTGCCAGTAACTTGGTGTATGTCAAATTAGTTTAATTGTTTTAAAATAAAATTACTACTATGTATTAATGAGTAGTATATTTCTGACTAGTAAAATGTCGTCCAACTTCCTGGTCAATTGATTTGAATGAAATGGATTGAAGATAGATTTTTTAAAATACTTGAATAATTTGAATTGTATGAAGTGAATTATCGAAAAGAATTGAAGCTTTAAGTTATGTCATATTATATTTGATTTCAACCGTTTTTCATCAATCATTTCTTCGTGAACTTTATTGTTTATATGTGATCTTTTCTACTACTACTACTAATACTGTTAATACATATACTATTCTGGGATTTATCTTGATAACTTCATCTCGTTGTGCTGTTCTGATATGATAACTTGAATAAATGTGCACATATCTACTGGGTTCTATTCTTAGTACTCTGAAAAGTTGACACAGTGCTTTGATATACTTTATCAACTTTTTCTGCATATGAAATATTTCTCAGAATGCACCTTTGTGGGTATAAAGGTCCTTGTAGGCTAGTGGATGCTGTTAGTAGATTGATTATTCATATTTGATCATTATTATCTGATAATCACAAACTTTTTAATGTTTATTTCATGTTTTCTTTCACATAGAATAGTTCCTTATATGGACAGTGTCTAGTTATGCGTAATTTTTCTAAAATCTTGCTTCAGTTATTCAAATTTTAGCAATGTGAGAAATAGTTGTACACAGTTGTTTTTTTTTTAACTTAATGTCACCACGATTTCAGCCTCAAATGAACATCAATTTCACTGATATCTCTGTTGTTCATAAATTTTAAAACAGTGGCCACCTCTCCGAATCACTTAAATTACACTATCTTAACGCTGAAAAGAGTAGATTTTTTAGTTTACGATAATGTTTGAACTGATTTTCACGGTTCAAATTATTATTTTTTCTCTACTGTTTAGTAATATAATACATAATTAAACTTTTCAATAAAGCAATATTCATATTATTTACTGCTTTTTAAATTTCATTTCAGGCATATTCTGGATTTTCTTATGTAATGCAGTATTTATTTCCTAACAAGAAGACAGGATTTACACTAACAGAAGTTACTGAAGCTGTTACGAATTTTTGCAAAAAACCGTGGAAAGATGTAAATTTTCATTCATTTTCTGACAATATCTTATCGCTTATATGTTAATTTTTTTAAAAATTGTAATTGATCTGAGGTGATTGAGTGTACTTAGAAGGGGATTGTATGTTCAGGCTTCGTTAGAATTGACACTCATCAGCAAGGCGTACCTTCAATCCTGCCAGAAATAAAAACCTTTGTAGAATTAGAACTTGCGAGATGAATTTCGATTAACACTAAGAAATAGACAAATATATTATTAGATACTACTCGGTAATCAATCGATGTGAATTCTTGATATAATTATTTGTAATAGATATATAAATATTACATAAGTTGTGATGTTCAACATTTCAGCTTGTGTTAATTATCATTTGCTATGCTAATCACTGTAGATAACTTGGTTAGTTATTACCATTACACAATTACCATTACAATTTGTTAACTCCTGATATATATATATATATATATATAGAGAGAGAGAGAGAGAGAGAGAGTTGTATCTGGAGAGTCGTTACTATTATGTACGTATCAACTTCGCTGAGTCCGCAGTCTCATTGCTTTTACTTGGCTGTCGGGAACTGCTGCAATTTCTCGATCGTACTGCTTATACTGTGACACAGAAAACACTATATTTCCCAAGACTCATTAAGAACAGGAAAGATTGATGCAATGAGGATTTATTGACTTCCCCAAAAACACGTCTCCAAACAAGTTCCCAAATCACATCATCATTAGATTAAAATGCAACCATTTATACGCTAATTCTTACACTCATTTTATAATAACACATGTAGGGGAAAATACATACGGTTACTGTAAATAAACACTACATGTAGGTCATCTAAATTAATATAGAGAATAAAATTGTCACACTGAATGAATGTTCTGACGTGTCATATCGAACAACGTTTATATTGAATTGACACAAGAAAATATTAACTTAAAAATGTCATACTAAAACGGAGTTCACACCTGTCACTCTGACTAAAATTCATGATGAATTGATCTAAATGATACCATTTTATCGACCATGACCTTTTTGGGTGTGTGTGGCGTCGGGGCTTCTAAACTAAATTACAGTTCACAGTATTCAGAATGGTAATACTGCGTAGTAGTATTAAGTTTGAGACCTACAAAACATAACAACAACTAAAAGACAGATAGCTGTCATCAACACAGATGGCATATATATGCGTTAGATCAAGTTGCTGCACCACATCAGTACGATGAGGTGAAATGAAAAAGAAAAGAATTAAAACAATGCAGAAGCAATCATAAAAAGAAAGTCTAACTCAATGAAGTGATTGAAGATCCACTAACTTATCAACCGATTTACAACTTTTACCAGTTACCCATTTAATTATGAGTAAAAGGCAATATCGCTTCTGACTCGTCTTTTTGGCGTAAACTGAATAATTTTTATTTTAGTCACGATGTAGTCATCGGTTAAAATGATACGACAGTACACGGTACACCTTGTCTTAACGTTCATTGGTTAGACAAAACTGACAAATTACCTTGTGCTTAGTCTTCATGCTGTGTAGAAATCGCTCAGCAGAGTATATCTTCAGTGTCAATGAAACTGATACTATTTAAATATCGTATGAACTCACGTCACAGTCAAAGATGTTAGTACTAAACTATTTGGTCGATGCAGTTAATCTCCAAATAAAGATCA